ATGTTCATAGCGTCGGGGTTATGTGTTCATATATTTTATACGATATGAACAAATGGTGAACACGATATGAACAAGGGTTGAATAACCACATAAGACCAGAAACATATATGAACAAGGGGCGGACCTTAAAGGATGTGGATGCAATGCATGTATAAAACTCCAATTGACAAATGATCGCTCCTGAATGCGTTTATAATTAATGAACTATTGTTCAAAAGCTGTTCATATTATGTTCATACCTTTTTTTTATTTATTTTCTTTTGTATATCAGTATATTTTTATTATGTTCATATTGTGTGCATACCTGTTTTTTTATTCATTTTCTTTCGTATAACAATTATTTTTATTATGTTCATATTGTGTTCATAAATGCTATGCAGTCCAAGTTCATATATTTGTCATTTTTTTCGTATTTGATACAATGGTTTATATATATATATATATATAGTTGTGTTCATATGTTTCCTACGTTAACAAAAATAAATTAACAAAAACATACTTTTTTTTTGATTTTGTAACTCCCAATTGATGATATGGGAGTTACATATTTTTTTTTACCTAAATACCCTTTTTCAAATTTGTTCACTTATGTTTATGAAATTTTAAATTTTAAATTTTTAAAAAAATAAGTATTTATAATAATTAATCACAACCGTTTATTGAAAGATTGAATGGCCAAGATCGGTTAACAAAGTTAACACAAAAACTTTGGTTAACATTTGATCTTGACCCTATATATATATATATAAATATATATATATATATATTTATTTATATATATACTAGGTGTGTACCCGTGCAATGCGGCGGGAGCCATGAATTTTAACGATTTTGAAGTTCCACTGGGTTTATAAGATAAGATTTAACGATGATATATGTTACATTTGGTCTTTACATATTAATACAATTTGAATAAATAAGAGTTATGGTTCTATCGATGAAAAAAATTGTTTAACAGTTTAAAATCCAACATATTTAAACGACTCCACAAATGTATTCGATTTACACCAAGAGCAAAGAACCAAGAAAGTTGAGTTTTAAAATAAACACTCAAAACCAATAAAGAAAACTACAAATTTAACAGATCATAAGCCATGAAAAGACAAAAAAAGATGGGTTTTATAATGAAATTTCAACTGCTTACCCTATTTCTTGTCCAAAAACTCATATTAAGATTGAATTAATACATGTATATATATATTTCAAAAAAACACAAAAACATATTAATTCAGAACATATTATACAGTGCAATTTGGACARCCTAACCCCAAAATATATAGTATATATATAAATAAATAACTATAAAAGTAYAAATCGTAAATATTAAAAATATTTGTTCACAGTATATATAACATATAATAATATAATTAGTCAAAAACTATTCAATATTTGACTCATTTCGAAGGTATTAACGAGACGATTATAATGGTGTAACTCGTTAAAATAAAAATGTAACTTTTAAACATGTTTTAATTGTATATACGATCATGCATGTTAATTTGATAAAAGTTTAAAATTGAACATTTAAAGGTAAAGGACGTAAAGTAAATTAATTAACTAATTATAGGGGTATAAAGTGTAAATTTAAAATTATAATTTTAAAAAAATCGGTTGCGAGAGGGCGAGTGTATGTGAGGGGGTGAGTGTATGTGAGGATAGGAGGGAGTGAAAAAGTGACGTAAGGGTAATATAAAGGGTATCTTGGTCATTTAGTATTTTACGACTTTAAGATTTTTAAGACTTTTGTTAAATTTGCTTAATAAGATAGTATATATATATGTGTGTGTGTATGCACACATATATACATATATAGGGTTGGGTTCACATGAAACGAGTATGTTTTATATGAATCCAACCTATTTTTGTGAGACCATATTTTTACACTTGAAACTTCACAACAAAAACTGTGAAGATAAAAAAAATTCGGAACTAGTGAGCCTTCACAGCAAAAAAACAATGTAAAAGTTACTTTCACAGTGTTTTAATGTGAAGTTTCAAGTGTAAAAAAGTGGTGTCACGGAAACATATGGTCTCACATTATACCAATGAGTAAATTACAGATTTGGTCCCTATCACTATATGACAATTTTGGATTGGGTCCCCCAATTAAATTCACGATCGTCGTTGTTTCACTTTTGTTTCGAATTGGGTCCCTTTCACCTAACTCCGTTTAACTATTAATGAATAAAACATGAATAGTTGGCTATATTTACGTTCCGCCCCTAGTTTTGAATAGTCTTCAATAATTGAAAGTTTTGTCCCACATAGGAAGAGAAGCTAATATGAGAGTGATTTATAAGTCTTATTATATTTAGTTCATCATATGAGTAATATTTGATAAAGAGGATTTGGGCTTGATTTTCTACTTGATTTGAGTTGACATAGAAATTGTTAATGGATCAAAAGACAGCACTAGCACGTTGCGGTTCTCACAAAAACCCGGTTTTTATTTGTGCACAGTACGGTAGTATAGTTTCTTATTCGTATGTGCGGTTCCTTGGGTTAAAATCTCATCCTCTAACAGGTTTTCTATTACCCATAGTCCATACATATATCTGACATTTTGTCAGAATCGTTAGTTCTATTTTTTTCCTGGTTATTCTCTTCTCCTCTTCAATTTATGCAACAATATAGATGTTCATGGAGAGGTATGATTTGCTGTATCATTCATCTAGATTGGGTTAATCTTAGGAATAAATTAGCCATAATCTAACAGCATATAGTGGGGGCTAATATTATTCTAAGGATAGTGATCTTAATCACATCCTAATATGTTTGTC